TTAAAAGTTAAATTTGATCCGAATGAACAACCATAAAAAAAAATAAAGAGAAAAAGTTTTGACCATTTTACAAAATTTTTCATTTTTTTTTCTCATAACACATTTATTAAAGAATCTGTTATTTTTATTCACAAGTAACTATTATACAATGTAAAATTACTAAATTATATTTATTATCCTCTCGCATTGTGTCTGAAAATTGACTTCAAAAAAATCAAAAGTTAATAGTTACTGATAAAATGTAACTAAATTAAGTAAAAATTAATTAAATTTTTAACTTTTTAACTTAATTTTTATCTTTTTAATTTAGCGTTAACCAACCCTGTATCCAACGAATCATTTTAAAAAGTGTATAAAATAGAAATAAAAACTTCAGCAGATCTTCATTACATGTAACAATATACTTTATGGATTTATTAATTCATTTAATGAAAAGGAGAAGACAAAGACAATTAAATATTTAGCCAATCTGTGATCTTATTTAAATAACTACATCTGTTTAATTTAGTAACAGATTTTACTTCTTCTAATACAAAGAACTTCCTTTTTCACATCTTCTTCTCTTACGGGATTTATTTCGACTTGTCTGCTTTACACGTGCGTTCATCTACTCCTACTTTCTTCATATAATTTTTAACGAAACATTTAAACGAAAAACTATGTACAGAGTTTATGGCTATAAGTTTAAAGAGATTTATATCATAACCCTTTCAAAACGAAGCAATTTATTTTAAATAGAATTTAACTAAAATTATCTTTATTTTCAGCGAGTTTGAATATTCAATCAAATAATCCATAATTTTTAATTATGTATAAATAGTTATAAAAATTAATTATATACCGCTAGTAGAAAGTTTTGTGTACAGCTACATTTGCTTGGCTTATAATTTATCTTGCCTTATAATTTATCTCTTATTTATTTATCTAGTATTTATATTTTTTAAGAAAAAATAGTGCTACATATACAGGGTCTACTTATAACTTGAAAACTTTGAAACATTTTACTTATTTTTGATGATATGAAAAAAATGTTTTAGATAAAAGTGGAATGGATTTGAGAACATCTTTTGGTCACGTTATTTTTTTCTAAGTGGAGATGTTATATAGATATGAAGATCACCTCTACTTTTTTTAGATATAATTTTTGATTATTAATTTTATTAATATTAGATATAATTTTTAGATATGATTTTTTTTTTACATAATATGGCTCTTCTGATTACTCTGTATGTAAAAATATTAAGATAGAGATATAGAAAAGTAATAGGTTTTGAATTATTATATACTTTATTCTAATACGTATAACTGAATTTTTTTATAATCGTTCTCATTATATTAATTGATTCCGCTCATTATTCTGTGTATAAAAGTATTAAGATACGATTGTCAAAAAATTAACACTTTACGTAATTTAATATGTAATTTAATATGAATAATTTAATATGTTAATATGTGCAAGGTACAAAGTATAAAATATCTCAAAATCTATTAATTTTTCGATATCTCTATCTTAATATTTTTACATAATTAAAAGAATTATATCGTGTAAAAAAATCATATAATTACATCTAAAAAAAGTGATGACCTTCATATCTATGGCGTCTCCATTTAGAAAAAAACAGCGTGATCAAAATATATCTCTCTCGAAACCGTTCCAATTTATACGAACATTTTGTTCGTATTATCAAAAATAATAAGTGAAATATTCAAAGTATATTCAAGTTAAGTAGATTACCCGGTAAAAAGTTTGTTGCATGAATATGTATGAATATATATAATGTAAACACATATAAATATTCATAAACATATATAACTATATATGAAATATGTCCATACGTGATTATCTGTTTTTCTTTTAAAATTACTCTTTAGTGTAATGAAAATAATAATAACAATGCGAAAAAATAAAAAATAATTGAATGGATAATTTTCACATTGTTGTAGAAAAAATTAAGTTTGGAGAAATGTAAAAATTGTTCATACACGATTATATATGTAATTTTATATATAATTATTAGAGCCCTGATTATCCATCGACGTACCTATTCCAATCAATCGTAGCGTGTTCCTCACGATTCTCCCCACTATTACTCGCCCGAAGCCCGAGCGACGGCGCCACGGCGGTGAAGGATGAGATATAGTGGAGAAAGGTAGCTATGTTTGATGCAATCTCAGGACTTTATATAATTCGAACTCTAATAGTTATATATGAACAATTTTTCTTTAAATTTGATTTTTTCAAAAACAGATAGTGCAAAAATTATCCTTTTAATAATTTTATTTTCACATACATATATTTCTATTACACTTAAAAATAAATTTGCAAAAGAAAGAAAGATATATGAACATGTATGGACATATTTTATATATAATTATGTTTGTTTATAAATATTTATATATATTTATATATGTTTATATGTACATATTTATATATATTTATGCATGAAAAATTTTTTGTCAGATACCCTATACGTAAAATACACAAAAATAAGTTTTAAGAGATATATTATCATTAATAAAATTTAATGCTATATTTATATCTCGTTAAATTTTAAAAAGAGAATGTTTGTACTGTAGGATTGAATATTCATTTGAAAATAATAAAAATTGAAAATAGTTTTAAAAATACAACTTTTCTTTTAAATTTATGTTTCTTTTCTTTTTATATTATTTAATCTTCTGAACAAACCAAATTTTGAAATATTAATAAAACTAAAGAAAATATATTAAAAAAGAAAATTCGAAAGTGCATGGTTGCTTTCAACAAATTATTATAATAATAAGATATTAAATATGCAAAAAAAGGAGAATTTTCTAAATTAAGAATATTATTTCTAAAATATTTCTGAAATGTATTAATTTATGAGTATACTAGAGAGCTAAAAACTTTTTAGTTATTTATCGAATATTTTTCTATAAAATAAATAAACCCGTAATAGCAATAATGTTATATATTATACATTTCTTTTCCCGATGTACTTTGTCATTGAAATTCATTGCTGCTACAAACTTTTGTATAAAATATTTTTGTTTTCAAAGATATTGCTATGCTTTTTTACTTTCGATATATACCGATCATTCTTAACATCTTTAAATAATTAAGCGCTTAATATCTAATAAAGGATACATATTTATTTTGTCTCTCATTAGCAGCCACTGATAACTAGTTATCATTAGCTCTTCCTGCTTAATATTAATACCAGCCTTAATTACGCGACGATACTATTTATCATTGAATATCTCGCGTTCATAAATCAATATTATATTCGACAGATCTCTAAAATGGAATAATTTATCTTCGCCAACAGATTATTTTTTTCTCGCATTAATTCCATTCTTAATTTAATAATAATGCTATTCAAAAGAATAATATGCACGCTGCTTTATTGACACGAAAAACTATACATAACTCGATTATTCAACGGATGAATCATAAACCGTTGTCAATAAATACATATCCTTACGATACACAAGATAACAAAATTTATTTATTCAAGCTGTATCCGTATTTTATTCATATTGTGTATTAATAATATTAATGAATATTTATTCAGAAAATACTTGCCAATATTATTAACATAAAATATACAATAAACTTTATACAAACATACAGGAACTTGTATATATACGTTTAAAAAATATACGCAAAGAATTAAACTAAACATAAAATATTAATTTTTGTTAAGAGAAATAAAACTTTAACACAAGAAGCTATTGTTTTTTATTCTAGTGTTAATTCAACATGAAAATATATGAATGGAATTTTTTAAAGTTTTTAGATAATGTGTTAAGAAGATGAGAATATTCAGCGCTCACGGGAACCTGATAAGTATAATAGATACAAGTGTCCTATTTTTTATATAATACAAAAATCTTACGACTTTTCATTCTTTTTCTGAAAGGTTATTAAATATAAAACGGTATTTAAAGATTATGCATTTCTTCCGTGTCTTGCAGGCATTCCAAGAATGGATTTGGACACGAAAGAAATTCGCGAAACGCATAATCTTTATATAGAAAGCACCCGTGGAAGTCTCAAGAATGTTATAAAATAATTTATATATATTATAATTTCATTCTTAATAGGAAAAAATGTGTTTGCGCATCATGATAATATTACTATAAAAATATTACTATAAAATAACAAATATATTTTTATTTTAATATATTGAAAGATTATCATACCTACTGCAATACGCTACAATTATGATTGCGAGTTCGAAAAAATTGTTACTAACGTAAATGAAAGAAGTCGGTTACTCTCACTTGTATCAAGCTACAGAAAACTGCAAAAAAGAGAAAGAAAAAAGGAAAGAGGAGAAGGTAAAAAGACAAGAAATGAAAAAAAAACAATTTAATCTATTATTCATAATTCATGGACCGCATATTGATTGATACAGGTTGACTACAAATCAAACGATATTCTACAATAAATAGTCCACAATCATGTAAAGCAATATGCCACAATATTCCACTATCATGTCCAATTGTTTATACAATATTGAAAATTTAAAAATTTATTGTTTTATCTAAATATGTTATATTTATAGCTTAAACATTATTATATTGTTGTAGCTACTATATGTAGAGCTATATGTAGAGCTATATGTATAAGTTTCTGTTCTCAAACAGAATAAGGCATGCACGGCGACGTTAACTTATGGCTATATTAAAGGCATACATAGTACACAAAAACATTTAAGCAGTAAAACATAAGCAGTAAGTAAATAAGCTTATCACAGTAGAGATCATTAAACGTAAGCTGTAGCAAATCCAAATATTGATTTGCTTACTGTTCGTGTCTTTACTGCTTAAGTTCTTTGTGTATCATAGCACTTTAACGTCGCAAATTGTATCGCACGAAACTATACTATACAATATTGGTTAGAATGGATTGTTTCATAATATGAAACTTCATATTATGTATTAATCTATCTAATATATATTTTATATTATATATTAATCTATCCTAATAAATATGAATCCATAGATTTTTTCCTTCTTAGTTGCATTTCTTGAAAAGCATTCTTCTCATTCTCTTATTTTGTAATAAATTAAGATCGAACTTTTAAGCATTCTATTCTTCGTAAGTTTAAATTACACAATTGAATATGAGGCATAGTTTCCTGACAATTGCTCTCGAACTCGACTTCGGATGTAACTTCGGCAATTATTATATGTAATACTAATTATCGATCGTTCTAACAAACACGGCGAGTTCGTGAGTTTTTCAAGATTTTCCATTCTTCGACTCCACTGTCACGGAGGAGACTTGGACCCGCTGCATTTATCTGCTATTATTTGTTGCTGTTGCGAAGATGATTGTTGTTGCTGTACTTGCTGCTGCTGCTGCTGCTGCTGCTGTTGCTGCTGTTGTTGCTGCGGATGCTGCTGCTGCTGTTGGTGATGATGTGATGAATCTGTGTTTACTCCAAGGTCATTACTTATTAAATTACCACTGTCATTTTTATCTACCACGCCACTCGTATGCACAGGATGAAAATATCGTTCTGAAACACAATTTTTAATCGATATAATAATATAAGAAAAAAGATCAAAGATGAACAAAGGACGTTATTAAAATATTAAATGAATTCAGAAAATCAATTAAGGAAATTCAGAAAATTCAGAAAATAAGAACTTTCCAAAAATCAAATTTTGTTTTTTTTTTCATACTCTTATAGTAGAATATCTAAAAGATATAATTGTAGGGATAGTGGAGATAAGTTGAGAGAGGAATAGGCGAAGATAGATAAGGATAATTAGTTCCGAGCCTTGCTCCAATACTGATATCTTCGGATCATGAGGTACCACAATTAACACGTACAGCCGTGTGCAAAAGTATTAGGCTCTTATAATTTTCTCGCATTGTATGAAAAGTTAAATATTTCGGCGAAAAGAAATCTCAGAAAGCCTTTCGACCATGCATTTTAAAATGTAAAGATGGGGGGGGCTTTAAATCTGTGTTTGAATCTTTTGTCTACAATATTTTGTTTCTAAGTTACATAAAATTGAAAAATAATACCTTTGTGATATATTCATCTTATTTTAAAGCACTACAGTTCAAAGAAACATCAGCAAACAAAATTTAATATGAAAGTATGTGAAAGTAGGCTTTCTAAGGTTCAAAATTTATTATTTATTTTTTATTATGTGAAATTTTATTGTATATAAACTTTTTTAAAATTGATGATCGAATAAAGTTATTTAAAAAAATTGAAAAAATTTATATGAATCAAGCATAACAAACATTTTTCTTCTTTTGTCTTTAATTTCAAAATTAAAAAACGTTTTAGAAAAAATAAGTTTTTATGAAATGCGAAAAAATTAGAAGTGCCTAATATTTTTGCGCACACATTTTGGCTGTAATTATACACGTCAATTCAGAACCAAAGTCAGATCGGAGATCTTGGCGTATAATCACCGTCAATATTATATACATTAATATTATACTTTAATATATAATTCTGTAAACATACATTTCAGTCCTATTATTAAAAGTAAAATATCACATAACATAATTTCCTTGTAATTATACATGATAAAATTTGACAAATCTTTCTATAAGACGCAAAATTGCTGATAATATAATTGGTCATTAAATGAAATTGTAATTACTGTAAATTAAAAAATTTATATAACTTATTCTTAAATCATTCTGAAATGTTACAATTTGACGCCCGAACAAAAAAAAAGGAAAAATTAAATAAATATATAAGAGAAAATGATTATTTTACAAATGTATATTAACGGATATTACAATAGCTGGGAAATTGCAAGAGACAAAGAAGAAGATCGTCAATCGAAAGATACCGAGGTTAAATACAAAGTCAGAGCTGAAAAACTTAGTACAAAAAAGTGAAAACATTTGCATGGTAAAATAAAGTTAGAGAAAAGGTAACACTGAGCTAGAAACATTGCGAAGATAGCTACAGACATTAAAGTACAATATAAAGATACAACATATAAAGCAAATATACATAAATTATTCGAAAAGTTTTGAGTTTCAACATAAAGATAACATTACTCAAAACCATCTTCTGATACTACAATCATATTAGATATACAACTTTGCTTCCGCCGTTTTTTTTCCGAAATTCAAGGCTTTATTGTAAAAACTGGTTATACATTTATGATTCAAAGTATTGTCCACTACTTTTGTTGTCCACTGTCGCTGGCCACTACTTTCTCCCATCTTTCGGGTAGCGTACGAATCCCGCGTCGAAAAAACTGGTCATCTTTTGAGGCTATCCACAAATCGATCCAATTTTTTACTTCTTCATAAGACCGGAAGTACTGGTCAGCCAGGCCGTGTGCCATTGATCGAAACAAGTGATAGTCAGAGGGAGAATACGACGGGTGGGGTAGGACTTCCCATTTCAACGTTTCCAAGTATGTCTTGATCACTTTTGCAACATAGGGTCGAGCATTGTCATGCTGCAAAATCACTTTATCGTGTCTCTCGTTGTATTGCGGCCGTTTGTCTTTCAATGCTCGGCTCAAACGCATCGAGTGCGTTCGATACCGATCGCCTATGATTGTTTCAGTCGGTTTTAACAGTTCATAATACACTACGCCGAACTGGTCTTACCAAATACAGAGCATGACCTTAGACGTCAAAATCACCGTTCTTGAAGCGTTAAAATCACACACGTTCTTTCACTAATAGCGGTCTCACCATAAGTATTTGAGAGCATTCGATGAGCCTCAGCCGCAGATTTCTTCATATTGAAGCAAAAAATTAAAACCTCCCGCAAATGACGAGAATTTGGCTCGTAAACTGACATTTTCAATCGAGAATAACTTTATGATGCAGACACAAATCGACTAATGTTTCTATGTGGTTATGTTGACAGATGCCCAAGTTTATTGTATGACGTCTATTTATTTCGACCACCACTTACTAAAGCCATCTATAGGAAAACGGCGGAAGCAAAGTTGTATATCTAATACATACTTCGAAAGATATCTGTGAAAATTGTAGCCATTTTGAACGTTTAGTTGAATCATTTGCGCCAATCAATGTCAGTATTTTTGTAAAAATGGAAAAGATCGAATATCGTGCCGTGATTAAGTTTTTGCATTTAAAAGGCAATACGCCTACGCAAGTCAAAGTCAAGTTGGATACTAACGGGGACTCTGTCCCATTATTTGCTATCGTGAAAAGATGAGCAGCTGAATTTAAACGTGGTTGTATCAGCTGATGATGATTCAGAATGCCCAAAAACTATAACCAATAATATTGAAAAAATTCATCAAATGATACTGGTCGAATCCGACGATTGTCGAATCAAAGAGAGATAGCAGAGAATATAGGCATATCGAAAGAATGCATTTATCATATATTGACTGAAGAATTAGGCATACGTAAGCTAACCGCACATTGACTGTCGCGCATGCTCACTGTGGAGCAAAAACATTTCCAAGGCTCTGTTGAAGTGTCGGTTTAAGTGAAACGAATTGTCGAATTTTTTGCGTCGATTAATAACTATTGATGAAACTTGGATCCACTACTTCACTTCTGAAACGAAAGAATAGTCGGAACAGTGGAAGGGTGAACCTGCTCCGAAAAAGGTCAAGATGATTTCATCGGGAAGATGATGACTGTTTTTTGGAACAATCATCATAAAATTGTATTCATATCGATTATTTCGAAAAAGGTAAAATAACGAGAACGCATCATTAATTGACAAGCTGAAGATAGAAATTGCGAAAAAAAAGCCGCATTTGAAAAGAAGAAAGTACTATTCCATCAAGGTAATCACATCGTCTCACGCTTCGATGATCGTCATGATAAAAATTCACGAATTGCAGTTCGAATTGATTGACTACCTACATTCATCAGATCTGGCTCTCAGTGACTTTTTCTGTTTCCTAGGCTCGGAGAACAGAGATTTTTTTATCGAACGAGCAGGTCATCGCATTCGTAGAAGCCTATTTTGCAGAGCAGATGTTAACTATTATTTGAATGAATTAAAGGGTGAAAACATTTCTGGGAAAAATGTATCGACTAAAAGAAGACTATGTTGAAAAATAAAATTGAATTCGACCGAAAAAATACTTGTTTTTATGTTAGGCTCAAAACTTTTTAAAACGATTCTTGTACATATATGCATCCTGTATAAGATGAAAAGCTACTGCCAGAGATAATGTTTGAACATATAATTGGCAAATTTATGTGAAATTGTCACAATTTCGAAATAAAGTTGAGAATAATCTGCAAGAAAATTTTTAAATAAATTTAAATATTATTTTCACATAAAGAATATTCCTAAAAAGGTAATATTATCGTTAAAGGAGAATATTGCAAAGTAGGGCTAAAATTTGGTTTGATGTAAACAAAGAAAATATTACATTCGAAGAATTTGAAGATGTTTAAGGCGGAATAAATTTTTTTCTATTAAACGATTACAAATTGAATTACGTAATACATAAAAGTGTAAAAGATATAAACAGATGAATGGATCATTAAAAATTTATGTCTTAAAAGTAAAAACGGAAGCAACATATATAATGAAGAATACAAAAAATATGAGATTAATTACATTATAATATGTCTATCTTCTTCCTTCTCTGTCACAGGGCATATGATTTTCCAAATAAAGCAATTTCAGCGATCAGCCCCGTTTCCTCCCTCTCCTCCTATCATGGAGCATACGACTTTCTATGTGAAGTGAAGTGTACTCATTTATTTATGATGCCTTCTGTTTTATTTATGATCTCACAAGGGAAACACCAGGTCAGGGATTTTGACTTTTTGCAGGCTGTTCTTAAGTGAAAAAAAAAACGATACGTGTTTGACCGTTTCAGCTATTGGCACTCATAGTTTCGAAGAAATCGATTTTTAAAATAATTATTGTAATAATTTGAAAAACGCACTGTATAGGAAAATATCAATATCTTTAAATTTCATTTTATTTCACCAAATGTTAAAGATAAAATTACATCTGGATGGATGATTCTGAATCTCGGATGATGATTTTGAACGCAAATATGGTAGATCGCGCGCCAGTCAAAATATTGCTCATTTCACTAAGCATATGACTCATTCGCGCAACTCATTGCAGCGATTCTTTGAACTGAAAAAGTATTTCAATAAAATTTATCAGCATGGAAAATAAATAGAAATGTTCATGATAAAATGATAAAATATGCTAATAGAGTGGAAAATGCGATTATTGATGCTAAACAAGATAAAACTTTGTTGCTCTTAAAACAAGGTATAAGTGATAAATTTGGGTTGAAAATTTGTGGTCGAATTTTATACAAATTACAACTGGTTGAAAAAGTGAAAAGTTCCAAGTTTTCTGAAAGAATAGAAATTATTGAAAAAAAATTGCGGAATTTGTGGCAGAAATGATTCGTGATTTTCGAAGAAGATGAAAAATCACTTTAGGAAGAATGCATCACACAAAAAAGTATTAACAGTAATTTTAATATTTCATCACCTATTTCATTACCTTGCACAAAGAAAGATTCAGTCGCCAACTTTACGAAATAGGTCGTCACA